TTTTTTTTTCAAAGAATTTTATGAATTAACCTAATTAACCTTTATGACCGAAGAACCCTTGCACAGAGTCATCTACTAATTCGACTGTTCCATCATTGCTTGTTTCATTTATACTTATTTCCTCCCCAGTTTCATCATTGTCTATATATTATTTGATCCATAATGTAAAATATTTTATGTTGTATTATAATAATAACTGATTTGATCAATAACCGTACCATCATCATCATCATCCATTGGAATTGGACCGTTATCCTGCTCATAAAGTACATGTTCTTCAACGATTTCATCTTGTTCAATAAATTCTTCCTTTTCAAAAATGCATGAATTTACAATTAAATCAATCAAATCTATAATGTAAATCAGTAAAACAACATACTTGATCTGCCATTTTTGTTAAAATTTAAACTCGGAAAATTTATTATTTATATTCGATGTGTATTGCAAATTGCCGATCAGTTCACCGGTACTTTGCCAGCTAGTGGTGTTTTTAAATACGTAATACGTCATTAATATGTATTATTAACAAATTAATAACTTCAATCATCGCTAATAATACATTGATTTAAATAAACTACTAACAGAGTTATAAATTAAAAGTTTGGTCTGCAAATATGAGAAAGTATCTGAGAAATTATTGTACGAAACTTCGTTTTTTATACATTCTGTACTAATTAGCTGCGCCATATATTATTAATTCGTTTTTACGTAGTTAATAATTCGATCAATCATTAATAATCAATATTAATAATCCGGGAGGTCCCATCACTAGTACCAGCCAATCATTTTCCCGATTGAATTTTTTCCGTTATAGCAAAATTTACATCGAATTTATATCGATATACAGATTTGTAATTATACTTTTTTCCTCACTTTATAATGGGCAAAAAAACTGAACCCGGTCAAGTTTTACATCGTGAACTTTACCAAAGGATGAACTTTCTTTACCAAGCTGCAACTTTAATGACAACTATAACCACCTCATCAACAATTACTTTAGCACAATCAAACAATTCAATAAATCCAAAATCAATTTCTTCTGCTATAAATAAATCTGATGAATCGCAGAGTTCATTGATTACTTCTTCAACTAGTACTAATAGAAATTTAATCCCGC